TAACCATTGCATGATTCTTCCAAAACATAGCCAAATTTTTCAAAAAGACATCACATAGAAATCAAGAAGTGGTTTCAAAGCCAACCTATCATCAAAACTTTTTGATTACATGTTTAGGGAATTATACAGTTTTCAAGCTCACAAACTCTTTTTATTAGTAGTAGATCTGTTTCCCTATTTGCCTAAGGCATACTATTAAATTAGTTAACAATAGAAAATAAAGGGAATTGCCGGGTGGTGGTGGCGCACGCCTTTAATCCCAGCACTCAGGAGGCAGAGGCAGGCAGATCTCAGTGAGTTCGAGGCCAGGCTGGACCGACAGCCTCCAAAACAATACAGAGAAACCCTGTCTCGTAAAACTAAAAAAAAAAAAGAAAGAAAGAAAGGGAATTAATGCAGCGGTAGCTCTAATAATAATGAGGAAGTATATAGCTTCTTGAAACATGGTTGAAGATAGTCTGCCTATGCCCTTATGATTTAAATCTAAAAAGTAATGGGTAGTACTAAAAAATTATCATGTAAATATTATTTACTACATTATTCCTATTCATTATTTTCTTCAGTTTCTTCTGAACTATCTCAACAGAAAAATAAGTAAATTACCTGTACATTCTGAGTATATCCAGGTCACCACCTAGAAACAATGATATAGCTCAAGGAATAGACTGTGAATTTGAAAAGTTGTAAAAGGGTACATTGAAAGTGTTGGAGAAAAAAGGGAAGGGGGTAATGATTCAGTTATATATATGAAGAAAATATCCCCAGAGACTCACCTAAAGACAATCTGATGGAGACATTTTCTCAGTTGAGGTTTTCTCTTCCCACATAACTCGAGTTGTGTCAAGTTGACAAAAAAGCTGAATTAACACATACACCATATCCATTTAGTCAAACAACAGTAGTAGATTTCCCACTAGAGTCTATGACTTTCTGAGCCTTGGGTTTTTTTACCAGATGTACAATACCAAACATGAATTCCTTCTTTTGGCACTCAGAATTGGACTTCAAATCCAATAAAGAAATAATTTATTATTCCCATAAAATCATACGACTATTACACCATTGGGCACATCTTACCTAGCAAGCCAGTGTATATATTCCAGAGTTCACAGATGGAAAATATTATTGATTTTTTTCTTTTCCAGAAGTCTGCATATCCCCTCCTGGCACTATATGGTTATATAGTAGAGAGGGCATTCCAGCTCAGTTCCGACCTGATTTATCAAAACCCTGCCACCAAAGTAAAAAATGTCTTCAGACACAGGGTATCTCCATGTAATTCTGGTGGGCCACCAAGCAATGGTAATAAGCTGTGTTGTTTTGGGGCCCTCTGAGGACTCCCTGACCAATAATGCAAAGGGAAGTACAATACATCTGGCACTGATATTGGCTTCTAAGAGTAACATATCTACCCATGAAGACTACCACTGTCCAAACTCTTTTTTATTATATTCTTAATCATTTTACAATGTGCAAGTTTCCATACTGTTTTTTCTCATATATCCTTAGTTTTGGTTAACCATCTCCTCGCCATCTCCTCGCCTCCATCCTACCTACCCCTTTCCTGTTGGAAGCTTTTTACTCCCAGTATTCCCCAACTCTACTTTCATGTCTCAGATGTTCTATACTATCCCCCCACTCAAGGCTTTTCCCCCCTTGAGGATTTTACCCTCTCTGTTCATCAAAATGTTTCCCTGTCAACTAGCACCATGCTGTAGTATCAGACAAACATATTCTTTAAGTAGATCTTTCTCCTCTACTTAAAGTTTTGTGTCAGCCATGCTGGGCTGGGGAGAAAAATCCCTGAAGAGCTGTCAAAATAGCACCTTGGGACAAACCCCAAATGCCCCCCACCCCTGTCCTAGTAAAGCTTAAGCTGTCATTAATCATAGCTTCCATAGGAATCACTGAATTAACTGCTTTTGTCCAGGTGTATCAAGCTGATACATTTTTCTTTATCAACGAGACCAAAAAAGAGAAAGAAAGAAAGAAAAAAACCACTAACCACACCGCACACATCTACAATATACTGAAAACATGTAAATTTAAAACTCATTCATTTCATGCTCCATCAGAATGGTTTCCACAGCTAAAGGTCATTCGTCAGTCTAGTTTTGCTATACAGATTTGTTTCTCACTGGTGACAGTTACTTTTTTCACTTCTGCACTATGCCTTTTCAATTCCACGTGGTTCAGAATGGGCTGCTGGCTAATTTTGTCTCTCTTCCACTATTCTACAGTCCCAGCATTCATGCAAGTGAATTCATCAGCCTGATGAATTCCTCTGGTCTTCCTGGATCTTCCTTGGCTTTTCACACCCACAGCTCCTGCTTTCCTGGCTTGGGGTCCAGAGAAGCACTGCCTAGCTGCTCCTACAGCTGTTCCATCATCGGTATGCCCCAGAGGATGGCCCCACAGCCATGTGTGTTTAGATAGCACTAATTAGACATTGGAGAGGGGGGTAGGAAGTAAGTATGACTAAAATACATCATATAAATGTGTCAATTTTCAAAGAATAAATGAAAACATTAGGAAAGAAGAGTCCATGACTCTTGTCTATTTTCACTTCCTGAACAAAGAATGGCAGAGTGTTTCCTAAGTGGCTATTAATGCCTCTTGGCTTTCGTACTTTATTCCAAACCTCAGCAGTCTATTTTACATTGCTATGACAAAAATGTCTGCAACTGTGTAACTTATAAAGAAAATAGTCGTATTTAGTTCATAATCTCGATTGAAGATTTAAAACCATGCTCAACGCTGGCAAGGGCTCTTGCTGGCTGAGTCACATGGCAGATTGCATCATGGTAGGAGGGCAGGTGAAACAAATATCTCACATGATGAGACAGGACGCCTGAGTGAGAAGGAGAAGCCAGCCTTACTCTTTCAATAGTCCCCTCTTTTAAGAGACACTACAGTCTCTGTAGGCCTCTGTTAAAAACCTTCTGATATCAACATTCACAGAGCCCTAATAACCTTGAATTAAGCTTTATCACTTAGCACTTCCATACCTCTCAGTATCACCATACTGAGGACCAACACATGAACCCACAAAGACTTTCAAACCACAGCATACACTCAGATGTTCTTGTCCTGGCCATGGGACATTTGAATATTGAAGTAAAGTAAAAGGTCACATCAGTTTCTCCAAATGATGCCCACACAAGCTTGCTGCAGTTCACCTATCAATGAAGCCAATCCTGAGAAGCCATGGTTAAGATGTCATTTCCAGGGTGAAAAAAGAGTAGTGAATGCAGAAGAAAACTTAGCCAACATATTAGCAATCTTGATCCTTCAAAATAGTCAGCATGATGAAATGCTTCAAGTCAGAACTTTTCATTTCCCACACACTGAACATTTAAAAAAGGGGACAATCCTACTGCCAGGAAGTTTACTAATGAAGTTGTACTTGAGTGCTTACTTAAAACTCCAAATTATCTCATAAATCAAACATTAAAGGATAAACCTCTGTGTTGATGCTACAACTTCCTGAGTAATGTAAGTCATAAGCCCACTCTCTCTAGTTAAAACCAGTATCTCAGTCTTCCTTTCCCTGGCAGATAGGTGAAACCTGGGCACTCCTCCTCTCTCCTTCCTGACAAGTTCATACATCTATATACTGAATTTTCATCATTATCCCTCCACATAGCCACTTCTTCTCCCATTCCCTCTAACATACTTCTCTCTAGCAAGCTTCCCTTCTCCTTCCATGGTTTCTTTGTGTGAGCGACCCACTGAGTTTAACTGGAGTCATCTGCATGAGCATGGCTGGGAAGGTTACTTACTGAAGCAAGATGCAGCTACATCACTAACTGCAGTTAGTAGGTAGACAACACACCTATTACCAGCACCCATCAACTGACACTCAACTCTCAGGGACGTATGGGTCCTCTTGTTTTATGCAGGTAATCAAAAGCTGTTCAAGAATGCAATGGCGAGAAGATGACTTTTTGCTGCACATTCCTCTGGCTGCCTCTGTTGTGCCCAAATTCTGAACCCCAAAAAACACCAAGAGGCCCATTTCAATGCAAAAGCAAAGAGTCTTTTATTGTAGATGTTTAACTTTGGGCCCTTCACCCTGCCACCATGGCGAATGGCTGGAGAAAGACCCCAAGCAACCCCGAGGCAGGTATCTTAAAGGGCAGCGTAAGGGGAGTGTCTAGGGGTATGAAACAGTCTCAGGATTGGTGCGCTTCCAGGTTTGGGTGACCCGCCCTGTGTTGATTGGTCAACTGGTTGTTATGGCCCATAGGCCCTCCCAGGGAGGTCGCTATGCCACTCTTGTGCATTGTCCTTAAAGTACACCCAGCACAGCCTGGCCAGCTTACTTCTGATTGGTTCCTTGCCACGAGGAGGGCATCTGACCATAGTGACCAGGACAGGAGCAGCAAGGTCATGCAAGCACATGTTATGGCTGCTAAAATGGGGGGCTGGTCACTATACCTCCTCCTCCTCCTCCTCCTCCTCCTTCTCCTTCTCCTCCTTTTAACAAGGTCTCATGTATCCTAAATTGGCCTCCAACTTTCTGTGTACTGAAGATGGACTTGAACTTCCAATCTTCCTCTCCCTGACTCCCTAGTTTATTCCGTGCTTCTGATGAAACCCAGGGCCTCATTTATGTATACTAAGAAAGCTTTCTACCAATCATAAGCCCCTATAAAACCTGTTATAAGCACCATTATACCATTTGACACTGGCCAAAAAAAAAATCTACTAGATAACAACAGGTAAGCACAAGTCAACTACTGTCTTGCTTCCTTGCTTATGATTCTTTCCCATGACATGCCCTCATCACCAATATTTCTTTCCCTGTAGTCATTACATAGTGACTTTCTCATAATTTCGTTCAAATAGCCACTGATTTTCTTTGGGTTTTGTCTCCCACAATCTCACCAAATAAATACTTATTGATTTAACCAGTAATGCTCTGTCTTGACTAATGACTTTTTCTTTGATCCACTATCTCTTTTTCCCATCCCATCTCCCACATTAATAACAATGAATTTACAAGATTATTACTATAGCATTGTATTGTAAACAATGGCAGGCAGAAAACCCATCCTGAGAAACATAAAGTCTTCACTGCCGCAGCTGCTGCTGGTTAAACAGAAAGGAAAGCTCACAGAAAGCTGTTTACTTTTCCACCTGAGCAACAAATAGAGCAAGCATCTCTAGGTTCAATCATGATTTGTCTGGCTCATAACTGGCTTGTAACATTTCAGGGACTTCAATGATGGTTACATTGGTTAAAAACCAGCCATACAAGCAGGTGGGCCTGAGTTTGAATCCCCAGTGCCCACTTAAAAGCCAGACACCTGCACGAGCCTGTAATGTTAAACCTGTGGGAAGAAGCAGAGATGGGTGGATCCCTACAGTGTGTTTATCCAGCCAGCCTACCCACAATTGTGAAATCCAGATTCAGTAAGGGTATGCCCATATCTCAAAAATAATCAATCTAGGAAGACACTAACATCAACCTGTGTGTGTGTGTGTGTGTGTGTGTGTGTGTGTGTGTATCCCCTCATTCTCACACACAAACAGGTACACAGGCACATACATGCACACAAACACCACACACATACACAAAATACTTGAGATTTCCAACAGTGAATATGGAAGTGTTTTTATAAGACCACTAATATATGGATACTAAAAACTTATTAAGTAATTGCACTTTTCACTGCCTTTTCCATCCATTCAAGGATTTCTGGTTAGAAGGCTTTAACCTTGAGGTATAATATTTAGGTTTTTTAGTCTCATATTTATGTGTATCTGCTTTATGTGTGCAGGTGTCCATAGAAGCCAGGACAGAGCATTGGACCCACTGGAGCTGGAGTTATAGGATGTCATGAGCCTCCAAACATGGGTGTTGAAGATTGAACTTGCATCTTCCGGAGGAACAGCAAGTACTCTTAACCACCAAGCTATCTATCCAGCAACATGAAATGAATTTTAAAGATAAAAATCAAACTGTTCATGTTCACTATTATATAATTTCTAGGAACCATGTGATTGATAACCTCTAGTACCTAGTACTGAGCCTAACACACAGAGTGAGCTCTCAATATACGACTATTGAATGGACAAATGAGCAGATGGATGCATGTTGTGAGGAGAAAGTAGTAAGACTCATTTCCATGTGTTGCCCTTGAAAGTTCATCCATTACTTCAAAGTCAGAGAAGATATGCTGTTTCTTGAATGAGTGCCCAGTATGAAAAGGCATAGGTGACTGGATATAGATCCAGGCAAAACCCAGAAGTGATGACATATCTCCATGTTGCTTGGCTTCATTTTTCTTCTATCTGTCACAGCTCATAGTCTTCCTGTCAGAACACATCCTGTCTTTCTTATTGAAACTATTATTCACAGTCAAGGTATCTGCAAGGAAAAGCATAAACATCAGGGAAGGCTCGCAGTTCACATTCATTCTTCTTGAAGACAGCTAAGTCATTCTTCCTCCCTTCACCTCCCCAACATGCATACACCAACTGCCTTAGACAAATTTACCCAGCCTGCCCTAGGAAAAGCAAATATATCTTGATCTTGAATAGAATATCAAGGGGCAAAAAAAAAGTATGACTTCAATTTGTTATAGAGTAACAACATTCTCTATTTTGGCTTCATAAATCATTCCAGCCTTGGAGAAGCAACACATTCACAGGAACTAGTCATGTTCCACAGAGGCAAGCCCAAATCCAGACAGTTCTGCAAAGTCTGGAGCATGCTCAGTACTAGGTTCTCATTCTCAGTCTTAGGAAGAGTCCATGTGTCAAAGCCACTAAGGAACTGGCATCTGCCCTGTGGGAATGTGCTAGATATAGCTTGAATAGAATCCCAGGTTCAAACAAGCCCCACTTTCAATGCAAAACTCTGTGTGTTGACAAGAGCAAGAGGAAACAGTTGAGTGAGTGTGGATACCACACTAAATCTCTCCCTTCTTAAAACTGTATGGGTGAGACAAAAATCCAGAATAGATATTTGCAATAGGTTATAGGGCAACATTTCTTTCTTTTAAAAAGCAAACTTTAATTGACATCTTCAGTGTACATAGTGATGAGGACATTTTGTTTTGTTTTGTTTTGAGGGCAATCTGGCTGCGACATCTGTGACTCCATCGATCATGAGGGTTGATTCAGCTGATTTGATTGGCTAGGCAGGTGTCCCCTTCCTCCCTTACTGCTTTATGTGTGTCCCCTCCAAAGCTCAGTCAAAGAGGATGACCTTTCCCAAATAGAGGAGGATGGGTCTTTGGTCAAGGACATAGAAATAGTTATATTCCCCTACTAGAATCTCCAAACAATCTCTCAAGAGTAACATTTTTATAGCCTTGATGCTTCAGTATTTACTGTTTTACCAAGTGTCATAAGAGTAAGGTTGCCTGCTTCCTTCTTCCTCAGTCAACAGTATCCAATGCAGAGTCTATTGTCTTGACTTCCACTTCAACTATGTAGTCTAAAATGGTCCTATGTTCCAATCCCACTATGTATTATAATAATGGTCCTGCTCTCCATCTCAACTATATGCTCTAGTCATGTAGGAAAAATACACAGATATCTTCCACAAAAGATCATTTGAGATGAAGACAGCATGTTTCACTGTCAGATCATTATTAGTTCAAGATCATCCAAGAATGAAAAGCTAGAATGCTTCTATAGACCATAAGCATCAGTATAAACCAATATTCCCAGGCTTGCCTAGAAAGACAATTTACAAATTGCTGATAGCACTTATATATCATCTCATTGAACACTTAGAATATTATAAAAGGAAAAGATGGTCCATGATTAAAGTGAGATTGTCAGTATTGATTTAAATGGGACCTGGTTATAGATATGCTGCTGGTCCCATGGTGGGGGTTGGGGTGCCCCATCTGTGAAGTACTCTTCTTCTCCCCTCCATCACTAAGTACTCCACTTGTGGATTGGTCCTTTGGAACAGTTCCCCTTCTTCCAGAAAAGAAGCTTCCTGAAGAGTGTGGCACAAGGTGAAGACAAAAGGATGAAATTTGTCCCTGGATTCTAACTCAGAGGCAGGTCTAGAAACATTCACACATCAATGGTGTTTCCAAGTTAGCACTTTGGTCCATCAAATCTACTATAGCTACTTATAGCCTTGACTGGCTTTCTGTCTCTACCACAGCTGAACTCTCCCAGAGCATGAGACACTTGTGGATTATAGTTCATGGAAATCAACAAGACATCTCTATAGGCAAAACTCATAGACTAGTTCCTAATAACTGAATAACAGCAAGAAGGTATTGCTTTTCTTACATCAACATTACTAACCTCTCTACTAGCACTGGATAAGGTGCCCTCACTGTATGGAAGTCATTCTTCACATGTAATATGGTGTGTGACAGCCATGGGACAAAAGGAAAAAGGAGGGGAATCACCTGTGATTCCCAAGTCTCTGTGGTCAGTTTCTATTTTTTAATTCTGCTCTTTAATGATAAACTTTCAGCTCCCAGCATCACTTTATGTGTGAATTCACACTTGTGTATACTTTGTCTTCCATTGCTTTTCTCTGCATAAGATTGTCATGAAAAAAATTAACTGCATTCAAGAAGTATATAACTTACCCAGAGTTCAGAATTTGTCAGTTTTAATGGACACATGCACAGGTTACTTTGCCTTTTGCTGTGACCAAACACTTGATGAGAAGCAACTTACCAGAGGAAATTTTATCTGAGATTCCGACTTGCAGAGATACTCTCCATCATGATGTGAAGGCCACTTGGTGGGAATGGCTTACAGCTGTGGAAGCAGGATCCTAAAAATAAGTGCTCATATCTCCAGACATCAGGAAGCAGAGAGGGAGAGAGAACAAGAAGAGGAAGCAGACTATAAACCCACTCACACCACCCACACCACCACTACCACCCACCCCATCCACCATCATCCACTCCACCCACCACCGTCCACCCCATCCACCACCATCCACCCCACCCACACCTCCCACACTACCCACACCACTCACCCCACCCACCACCCAAGTGACCCATTTCCCCAATCGAGGCCCCACTTCCTAAAGTTTCCACACCCAAAGGGAGTAGAAAATATCAAGAAAACTGTTTTTCAGACAAAAATCCCACCACTAGCTAAGGAGATAATGGCATTTATAGCTGCAGAGATAGGGAAATCAGTTTTCTTTCTTGATGTGACCCTCATCAAAACAATACACCAGGAGAGAACCAATTCCTAAGGTTATCTTGACAACACAAACTGGACTCAAAGGAGGAAAGAAGAAGAAGAAAAAAAAAGAAGTAATCTCAAAGTTGGATAAGAGAAGATGGTAGGGAGAGTGGTAATTGGAGGAGTTGAAGGGAATGGGGTAAATATATTCAAAATACATTGGAGGAAATTCTCAAATTTCTTCATTTAAAATGTTGCCCAAAAGAGTACATTTCCGTACCCTGACAAAATATTCTGACACATGGGCCTGTGGGAAGGGCATCATATAATTCAACTACAGCATGGAAAAACCTACTTCTAAACCTTAAGCTCACTTTTTAAAAAATCCTCTTGTTACCAGACCCTTAATGTGCCAACTGCTAAACTGCCTAGAATTTTTGAGAAGGAAAACAAGAGCATGTCTGCCTAACTTTGTGAAGAAAGAAAAAAGATTGAGTTTGCAAATTCAAACAGCCAAGACTCGTGTGATAGCCACCATAATAATCACAACTCAGCTGAAGATGAGGCACCAGAGTCAAGAAGCTGAGACCCCTGAAAGTCCTATTTCTCAGTTCCCAAGGATGTCTGTTATCTAAATGTGGACAGACAGGATATGGAAACCAGACAATTGTAGCCAGGAAGAGTCAAGATAAGGCCAACAAAATATTTCCAGATACCTCAAGCAACAGCCTGGCAACAGTTCCTGGTTATGGAGGCTTCAGAGTCCTACCTTAGTAACCACAAAGAATTTTACATTTGGTTAGAATCATTTGGCCCGGGGAGCCTTGTACTCCTCCAAATAGAACCAAAGGAAGCATCCAAGGTTCATTAAGTACTTTCATATCCGATGTTTTATTTTACTGGTATTAGCCTTGTAGACATTTAATACATGCTTGTAACTGAATTATGTCTACACAAGCTACTTTTGTTCTCAGTATTGTCTGACAATGGTACAAAGAAGAATGGAAAAAAAACATATCTGACCCAGGATCCGTGGACCCTAGTTTCTCTTCAAGCCAGAGCCTCCTCTCGTTAGCTATGTCACAGTCAAATCACAAATTCTTCCCCTATGATAATCTAAATTTATGCCAGATTTAAGGTTCTTCCATCATTTGATACATTAATTGAACTCGTGAAACACCTTGTTGGGAGATAATTCAATCACACTGTGAACCCTGAGTTTGCATTTGCATTAATTAAATAAAATTGATCTTGGGTCAGGAGGCTGCATTAGCAGCTACTTGACAGAAAGTAACCACAGAGCGTCAGAGGGCATCCAGGAGAGACAGAGAGACTCAGGAAGTCCTAGGGTGGGGTTTGGAGTGGCACAGGTTTTTCTGGTTTGGTGAAGTTGAAGCATGGGTCTTTCATGAATGCCAACAAGAAGAAAGGCTTAGATAGTTGCTACTCTGCTTCTCTGAGTTCACAGATTTTCATCCCAGACTTTGAATCTCAAGTTCTATTATAACAATAGAGATTTAGTTAAAGCTACCTTTAGTGGCAGCAACAGGGCTGGCTGGCACCTGCTGGAGCAAAATTCTTGCCAGATTATGGCCTGAGCTGCCAGGCTGCTGCTAGAGAAGCAGGCTGGTAACTGTGGAGTCACAATTGCTGGCTGATATAGCAGCAGATAAAGGTACAGCCACTGTGTTGAATTAAAACAATTCCCAGTCCTGTTTGACATATAGTAGGAACACACAAGAAATGTATTTTAAATTGTTATGGCTTCCTAAAATGTAAAATTTTATTAATTTGTATTACAGCTTGCATGAAAATATGATGTCCTTAAAGGATTATGGGATCTGCTTCATCTGTTTTCCATGTTGTGACATGCTGCAGTAGTTTGGTTAAGATCTAGGAAGTATAACCATGGTAATGAAAGAACATGGCATTAGAGAGGATGAGACCTAGACCAGAAGGAGGCAAGGCACAGGTAAGGCACACCAGGCTTGAGGTGTGACTGCCCAGAGATGAAAGTTACAAATGCCACGAGTTCAGTAGCTGAGTGAATAATGATTATTGTGGCCTAAGATTTCTGGAATGTCTTCCCAATACTACAATCTAATCAGAACCCAAAATGGGATGGGTGGAAAAATGAAAAGAAAGGAGAAAGTTCTACACAGATAAATAGAATTTAGAAGGGAAGGAAATTTAGCATATTTAGGGCAGAATTGGCTGAATTCAATAATAACTAAAAAGTTTCCTATTAGAGAAAATACATATTTTTGTGAAATAATAGCATTTTTTATTTCAGTCTAAAATGACACCATATCTTGAGAATAATTACATTTAAGTAGTATGGGCAGAAGGATATTCATGATTTTTCAGATGAAAAGCAGACAGTCCTTTTGGTACTGAACTAGTAGACATTCCCGTTGACACCAAAAACAATGGTTCCCTACTGAAGCATATGCTGAATTACTATACATCTGACACATTAAAACACTGAGTTAACTAATATTTTAGAATACTGTAGAAATCAGCTCTTTACTATGATAAAAAAGTAGAAAATACATATTTTTAAAACTTCCAAATATTTATGTAAACACTGTGTTAGTGTGGTTGGGTTTTGTCAACTTGGCATACGCCTAGACATATCTGGGAAAGGGATTCTTAATAAAGAAAATTCCTTCATAAGATTGGCCTGCAGGTCACAAACTATACAGTTGTTGGAGAATACAGGCCCAGGTTTCATTTCCCAGGATGGGGCTGTAAGGAGTCTGTCACTGCCCCTTTGGATTCAATGTCTTAGAAATGATAACATTGTATTTCCACAGATCAATCTTAAAAGATTTCCCAAAAAAGTGATATAAATAGGGCTTATTTAGCTGGCAGTTAAATGAGAGCATTTATAACAGATTAAATGTTTCTATGTTTGAAAGTACGTGTTACCATTTTAGGAAAAGATCATTCTTAATTTTTGCATCCTATTACTCTTTGCGTGTGGTGGTTTGAATGAGAAATGTCCCTCCATAGGGTCATGTATTTGCACACTTAGTGCCCAGTTAGTGGTGCTGTTTGGGGAGGTGGTGCACCCTTGCTGGAGGAAACAAGTCACTGGGGGTGGGCTCTGAGTGTTTTTTGGCATCACCCCACTTCCAGGTCTTTCTCTGGTTCGTGTTCCACATTGAGGATGTGCTCTCTCACCTTCCTGATCCCACAGCTTGTTGCCACCCCTTTGCAATCACCACCACCACCATGCCACCATGATGTACTTAGAAGCCACAATCCAAAGATATCCAAAATAAACTCTTTCTTCTACAAAAAAAAAAAAAAAAAAAAAAAAAGATTGGCCTGCAGATGCCGGGCGGTGGTGGTGCATGCCTTTAATTCCAGCACTTGGGAGGCAGAGGCAGGCGGATCTCTGTGAGTTTGAGGCCGGGCTGGACCAACAGCCTCCAAAACAATGCAGAGAAACCCTGTCTCGTAAAAACAAAAACAAAAAACAAAAAACAAACAAAAAAAGATTGGCCTGTGGAGCATTTCCTTGATTGATGATTGATGCAGAAGAGTCTAGCTCATTTACAGCCATGCCATCCCTGTGTAGGTGGCCCTGGATAGTATAAAAACCAGACAGAGCAAGCCATGAGGATCAAATCAGTAAGCAGCATTCCTCCATGGCCTCTGCCTCCATATCCCTGATTTCCTTCACTGATGGGCTGTGACCTGAGAGTTATAGGATGAAATAAATCCTTTCCTACCCACGTGGCTTTTGGGTCTTAGTGCTTTATCACAGCAACAGAAACCCTTAGGCAGTCCATTATGATTCCAAAACTGAGCAGAGAGCACTGAAACAGCAGGCCCTGCCTTCCCAGGCCACTTATGCTGGCTAACCAAAGGAAATAACACATAAGTAAAATGCAGAGTATACCGAAAGAGAAATCACAGCTACATAGAATAATAAAGAAAGATGATACACCAATCAGGACAGCCCTTATAACTAATTAAGGGACTAGGTGGCCAGCCCACTAGGCACACTGCCCTTCTAAATAAGTATAGCATACCATGCTCCTGAAGGCAGAACGCCGAATTCTGAAGTAGCCTCAGTAGTCTTCAGCTGGCCTGCAGACACAGTCTGCACTCTCTGTGTCTCCTTTTATGGGTTTATTTCACATAGAGACCCTCGTGGTGTACGCGCTCACTATCCAGTCTAAGGTAATGTGCTAACCAAACACAGTTCATAGTTGTGGTTGCTCATATGCAATAAGGAGACCTGAAACCATCTCCAGAATAGTTTATTTTTGTGCCCTTTACCAACCCACAGCCATTGTGGTCTTTGCCAGGGTATATCCTGGTAACCATGACATAGAGGAAATAACTAGTTTGTGCTTGGTTCAAGACCATGCAGTTCTTCAGCTATATCTCCATTGTCTAATTCAAATTCAGCTTACTGTTGGATAAGCACATTTCTATTCTCCACCTTCCTGCTTCACTCATCATAAGGACAATAGAGATCAAGTATTTGCCTGAAAAATTACACCAACCTTATTTACCCAGGTTTTTGAATCCAATCCCAACTTTAATGGAGCAATGACGCAACTTAACATAAAAGCTGAGAAATCCACCTTGGCAATGGTTGCCTTTATACCACACTCTGTGTCTTCCCAGAGCTGTTCTGTCTGTGGAAAAGCCAGGACCTCAGTTTTCTCTTAAATGCTGGAAATCAACATATGGTTTCATAGTAAGATGGATATGCTATGGTGAATCACCTGGAAAGAGGAGGACAAGGGGCTATTATGTAACAACAAGAGGCTGGCAGTGTGCAGAAGGAAATACAAAGGAAGAGAAAATAAAGAACTATGCAAAGACAATTGGTTAGGGCCAACAATGAATGTATAGTAAGAGTAAAGACTAATTACCTATTATTCAAATGTTGCAAATAAAAATCTGGAAGCATATTGAGGAGGTTTTAAAGAAAGATACACTCAAACCTGGACATCATAGTTTCCTGAGTGATTCTGTAACAATGAAAGCATCTAAGGAAGCAGCTACAAGTAGAGCACTGGAGGGTAGAACATTGGAGCATGGCTAGAACTTTGGGTCTGGAGAAATGGAGGCCAGTATGATCTACAGAGTTAAGTTCTTACAATAAATACATTGAGACCCCAGAGAAGAGATTAAAGAACTATAACTGCAGAGTACCAGAGTATGTAGGAACCAGGCTTAGAAAATGCAAGGTAAGAGGTACAGCAGAAAGAGGATGAGAAGTGTGTATGGCATTGATTCCCACAGAGGTGTCAGCCAAGAGCTGAACATCTCTAAACTTAGCAAAGTCACAGGTTATCTTTAATGAAATAGTAATGGAGTCCTGTTTCTATCTTATACTCATTTGCATCCCTGGGGAATCCAGGCAGCCTTTCTGGAGTGTGGGGATCAGGGCACTATAATCGCCTTCTATTGTGGAGATATGGGATGGCAAATCATTTAACACAAAGCAAATACCAGTACCTTATAAAGCCATTCGTTGACACCTTCTAAGTTGAGACCCCTGAAGGAGCTGTTACTAGCAAAGCATAGATGCCAGCAGAGAATTTGTGCTGCAGACTGCTGTGCAAATGTACTTTCCTCACTCATAGCTGAAGTGGTGAACAGTGATTGCTGCTTGAAAACCTCCCAGACAGCCTCTCAACAGGTAAGGATGCTTTGGGAACGTGAATAGGGGAGGGGATTGATCAATGGTTAGTCAAGTTTATTTTTGTTTTGTTTTTCATTTGTTTACACCATATGGAGAGAATAGTAGCTTAAATGAGAAATGTTCCCTGTAGGCTTGGGTGTTTGGACACTTGGCTGCCGAGATCTGCACAGCTTTGGGATTGACCTGATTGAGGTGACTCGGGCAATGGGAAATGAAGAAATAACAGACACGTATATAGGAAAGCTAGGATCAGATGGGCCATGCACTCTGATGGAGATGCACCAGCAGCCTGGAAATTCAGTGTTTATTATATAGAATTGAGTGAGGAGGCAGGTTTATTATATACAGCTGAGTGAGAACAGCTGGATATTAGTTGGGATCTCTATAGGGAGAAATCTCAGGCTACAGGCATGGTGAGGAAAAAGCGGCAGTTGATAATTTCTACATACATTGTCAGCATCAGTATTTGGACCAGGGGAACATGAGTCTGAGGCACTGGCCCCCATCACAAGGCCGTGCTCACCATGTCAACCATAGACATTCACTTAGGACTCTGAAGACAAATAAACAGAAGCCTCTGTGTCTTGTTCTGCTTTCCCCTTTGTGTTCATTATACTTCCCACTTCCCTTCCTTGGCACATTAGTTACTTAGCTCGTTGCTATGGCCAAATCCTGACCAAAAAAAAGCAAGAGAAGATGGTTTGTTACAGCTTATCACTTGAGGATAAAGTCTATCATAACAGGGAAGTCATGGCACCAGGAACACGAGGCAGCTTGTCTTAACTGCATCCAGAGTCAGAAAGCAGGGATGAGAGCTGATGCTCAACTTACTTTTTCCTTTCATTCAGTCCAGGGCCAGTTCATGGAAGAATGCCACCCACATTCCGGCTAGGTCTTCTCACCTCAACGAACCTTCCCAGCTTAATTAATCTAGAAATGCTCCTGTAAAAACACATAATGGTTTGTTTTCCTGTTAATTCTAAACTCCATCGAGTTGACACTCAAGATTAATCATCACACTGACTGAGGTGGCTTTTTTAAAATACAATGCTCCCCTAACTTCTGAAGCTTGTATGATCCTGGTTTGACCTTCCACCATGACATGGCCCAGATTTCCGTAAGCCTTTGGTTGATTTCTAAATACTGCTGCTGGCTGACACCTTCCTATGATGAAATTGAAACCTAGTATTACTAATGACAAGCATCTGACTCTTTACAAGTACGGATAGTCAAAAGCTCCTGACACATTTTCCTCTTCGTGAGGCTTAGTCTCTCTAAGAACAGTGCTGGGTACTCAAAAGAAACACTAGCTCTTCAGAGCATTGGAGTCACTCTTCCAAAACAGAACACAAGTGGATACCACATCTAGAAAACTCACTCCAGAAAAGAGGTCCACATGGGAGTGTGTGCTGCCAAAGAAGACTGAATAACCATCACACCATCACTTGAGTCACTAGACACAAAACACCCAACATGTCAAAAAATACATAGAATTAGGTACAATAAGACATCTTTTTCCTTATCAGATCCATTTATACAATTCTGGATTTTTGTGGGGGGAGGGAGTTGTTTGTTTCAGCTTGAGGACCCTTTAAGTTTTCGCAACTGAGAGACCGTGTAGATATACTTTCGACTCTAGCTACTTCTGGTTACCAGAGCACTCAAGTTTATGTCTTAGAAGATTCATTAGTGTCTTCCCTGGGAAAACCATCTTGAACACAGATTGAAGCATCCCACTGTCTGACAGTTTATCAAGAATGTCTTAAAACCTGGATGATGATTTGTCTTAAATTAAGGGAGCTAAGCATATGCTTTCACATTTCAGATCCAGAATGATGGTGTTACCTGTTCATCCTGCTTCTGCCTTCTCATGAACAGAGAAATCTAGACAAAAAGCAAAGATCTATGGCTGTGCTGTGGTTACTCAGGCTCCATAGCCTGTAGAAAATCTGGTTGCTAGACTACAACAAGGTTTAATTCTTTTTCATCAAACGTGCTGTAAAGAACAGTTTCTGTGACAAAAGTTGTAACAAAAAAGAAGTTTTAATTTCTTAATTTACTGTAAAATCAACATTTAATTGACAAAATCCAAGTAGAAAGACCACATAACTATATGAACATTCCTTCAACAAGTTGTGGTGCTCAAATTAGCCATGAAATGGAAAAGTCTACGCATGCCCTAGAAGAATATTTCCAGAATACTTACCGAAGACAGAAAGGCTAAGAGGCACATGTTGGGGGAAGTCCTGTGCATTTGTCAATAAAGCACTGCTGGCCAATAAGAAATCAAGATAGGTGGAACTAGGATTCCAGGAGGACTCTGGGAAGGAGAAAACACAGAGAGTCTCAGGTAAGAGACATACTTAGATTAACAATTATGGGGTAATTACTTAAGTCAGAGCTAGCCAGTAAGAAACAAGCAAGGCCAACAGCTTCATAATTAATATAGCCTCCTGTGTGTTTATTTGGGACTGATGCGGCTCTAGAACCAGGCTGGCGGGAAGGTTTCTCTCAAGGAAAAAGCTTCTCTATACAGGCACACAGTCAGTCCTGGCAACAGCAGTGGTCCCATCAGATGGTTGATGCTCCAGAGACTAACATTATTCTCACTCTTTGGGTTTTTTTGTGTGTGTGACATGATTTTTTTCTTATTTTAAAACAATCTTTTCTCATTTTATATACCAATCCCAGTTCCCACTCCCTCCCCTCCTCCAACTCTCCCCACCCTACCCTGTTCACTCTTCAGAGAGGGTAAGTCTTCCCATGGGGAGTCATTGAAGTCTGGCACCTCTTCTTAGTGCAATTCTAGACAAGTCCCTTGTTTCCTAATGGTCCTCAGGTTCTCAGCTACCACTTAATGGCTGCTGCTTCACCCTACTCACCCTCATGTTAAAATTCTCACTAGTTCCCCTGCTCCCCAGTTCCCCCATTTCATACCACTCCGATTTTCTATGTATCTTTCTGAGTCCAAGTCATCATCAAATCACGCCTCTCCACAAAGGCCTTCACAGAATCCATGTGATCCTCAGCCCGTTGTGTGGTTCTTTAGTTACTTTGACTTGCCTCTGGTCACTTCCAACATAAATATTTCCAGCCCAACTTGCATGTGAATTATATACCCTCTCTTCTTTATCCATTAGCCTTCTAGAAACTCATGTTTAAGGCAAAATTAAAGGGTCTTATTTTAATAGTAATGGTACAATCGTAAGATAGAAGGAGTACATTTTCACAGTCCCCCAGAAGTGTCCACCTTGTTGAATGAAGTGAAGCAGAGCCATAAGGAACATTTTAAGGACAGGTCTTTGGGTATTCAAATGCACTAGGACATAACTCACCTCTCTCACCTCTCTTCTTAACTATTTCCCTCACTGGAAACTTTATGCCTTTCATCATGGGTCTAATATAATGGACCTGTAGTGTGGGAAAGTATTAATGACTACATTTGTGGTTACACAAATGTGACTTCCTGTTTATGAACTCAATATTTTCATCTGACTTGAAGGAATTAGATCATTTCGGAACTGTAAGGCTAATGTAGGAAGATGTAAGCAAAATACATGGTACCTCTTCTAAGCTACAGTTATATTTAAATACACCTGTTCAGATGTTAAGTACATCCACTAGAATTATAGATAATAATTTCCTGCCTGGATACACCTATTAATCTATCTGAATCAATAAATAAAATCGAAAACAGGAGAGTATGTCTTACAATCCTTCTAAATAGTCTTGGTGATGGCTCAGGCAGAAAAACCGCCACCCTGAGGTTACAGAGTAATCATGCTGTGTGATCTGGAGTTCCCGTAAATCTCTGTAAGCAAATTCTGTAAGATTTTGGTGACAGAAGTTGAAGCATGTATCTAATTATCCTTTATCAATAAAAACTCAGGAGTCAGATATTAGGGTAAGAAACTGAATGAACAGAGAATCAGCAGAGAAGTGATCAGTGACCTTCTCTCTCCCCTTCCTCAATCTAAAAGGGGGCAAGAATCTTTCTAAGGCAGTTTCTACTAGTACTTGTGTCTGTCTATATGTCCTGGGTCACCCAAACCTCTATGGCTAAGGCTGGTCAGCTAGTAGCTAGCTAGCTCCACACTTTTATTCAAAGTAAACTTTATTGGAAGTCTTGAGAGTGTCAGAATGCAATCAAAACATCCCATGACACAAAGTCTTCTGATGGGTTCTCTGCAGAACTCTGTGGACCAGCATAGAAACTGCTTAAGGAAACCCTTAGGCCCAAAATTATAAACATCCCCCAACCCTCTAAGGTCACCAAGAAACAGTATGTAAAATGTTTTTACATATCCAGCAACCTCTGAAGAGCCTGGAGGCAGAAATTATGGGTCAGGATGGAGAAAGGGTAAGATGGGAAGAAGGGATTCTCATCTGAAGAGAGAGAAAGAAGATGGCAATAATACATCCAAATATGTCAGAAATCACAATTAATTTGAAAGTATTACATTTGCCTATGAAGATGCTCAAATTAAGGGGAAATTTCTATACTCACTTTAGAGCATAAAGAAACTTACAAAAAATAGATACAAAAAAAGACATACTGTTCAAATGCTAAGCCATGAAAATAAATGAAGCAAGGGATGGCATTCCAGTTCCTCACAGGAGCAAGTGTGTGTGTGTGTGTGTGTGTGTGTGTGTACGTACTAATATATATATATTAGTTTTTTAAATATTCCTTTCTATTTATTGTATTATAGAAAGGAATAATATATATATATATATACTAGTTTTAAGATACATATGAGCTGAGATATATTTCAGTGGTAGAGCCCTTGCCTAGCATATACAAAGTTGTGGGTTCAACTCCTAGCATTCCACAAAACAGTAAATAAACCAAATAAACTTTATCAGTCTAAAGTCGTAGGAATTACTAAATGTGATGAATTGTTAAATCAAGGAAGGCTTTTACACACTTTCTTACAATAGAAGACCCATTTTATGCTATTTCCTTATGCTATATGAACTATGTGATTGCTGAGGGGGAGGGTATCACTCTTTGGTAGCTGGTAAGTTGTGTCCCACCCCCATGCACATAGGGGCAGCACTCACTAAACTCATGGGTTATAATAGAAAATACATACATGTGCGCGCGTGTACACACACACACACACACACACACACACACGGGACATAAAGTTAGGAAACTAGTTATAGATAGAGGACACCAGGAGTTACAATGAGGTAATGGTGGATGAATATAATCAGCATACATTGTATAAGTTGTGAAATTTTTAAAGAATAGATTTAAAATATTTTTTAATTATGTTTTAACTAGTAATATGCCTCGGTGACCTAAACTTAATCCTGGGGCCCACATGATGGGAAGAGAGAACTATCTCCTTCATATGTAAGCTGTAACACACATGTGGGTGCATATGCACACAAATAAGAAGATAAATAAATACAGGTGATTTTAAAATTCTTAAAAGGAAACTTAAAACTTCAACTCAAGATTCTGCTTGCAGTGTGGAGAGAGTAGAGGCTTCCCTCAGAAGCTCTTTCTGAAGTCCTTCCAATCACAGTCACCCAGTCAAGAAGCTAACCCTGGCTGCATCCTAATTAGGATGTTCCATGTGACTGTGGAATGAGACCTCATAAATTTTATTGCTAACCACATGAATCAAATGGCCCCAACGAACCTTCCAGAATATCACATGGCACCACTCTCCTTTTATAACTTCTTAATCCTCTAGTTTTATTTTTAATTTTCTTTTTCTTTTTTTACTAAGTCTGTTGCTAATTCTCCCCACAGTCAGGAAATACATGCAATATAAACTCTTTCTTTTTTTATTTTTAACCCCTCCCACCCACTCCACTCCACATTCTCTCTTAAAAGAAAAAAACCAAAAACAATTTAAAATAAAAAGAGCACAAAAAAGATCATGCATGAATGTACGTGCAAATACACACACACACACACACACCCATACACACGGGGAGGGGGGCAAGATAAAGCAAAACACGGATTCTTTGTGTTGTCCCACTATTCCTGAGCATATAGCCTTTCTTGGAGTGTGGGGTTGATATATCTAGTATCACTCTATTGAAGAAAACTGGTTTTCCCTCTTCAACAATTATCAACTGCAAATAGCTTCTTGGTTAGGGATGAGACTTTGTGTCCACTGCCCTCCATGCTGAGATATTATTTGGTTTGAACTTGTGCAGGTCTAGGGCATGCTGTCAGTCTCTTTGAGTTCATAGGAGCATCAGCCCTGTGGTGTCTGGAAGATGCTGTTTTCTTTTTTTTTTTTTTTCTTTTTTTCTTTTTGATGCTTTTGTCTTTTTCTTTTTTTGTTGTTTTTTTTGTTTTTTATCATTTTTTATTTTAATTTTAAATAGCTTGTTTTACATGTCAATCCCAGTTCCCTCTCCCTCCCATCCTCCCGCACTCCCCTTCCCCCCCTCCCTCACCCTATTGCCAAATCCTTCCACATAGGGGATATCTAGAGTCTGTCATTTTACTCTTGGTAGGGTTCAGGCACTCCCCTAAGAGTCCAGGCTGAGAGAGCATCTCTCTTTGTGCTATAGGCACATGAAGACAGTTTGTATACCAGGGATAGACACTGATCCACAGCTCAGGGCCCCATAGGTTGCCCAGGCCTTCTCACTGACACTCACATTTGGGGGGTCCAGATCAGTCCCATGCTGGCCTCCCCACTGTCGGTCTGGGGTCCAAGAGCACTCCCCCTGTTCAGATCAGCTGTCTCTGCTGGTTTTGCCAGCCCATTCTTTGCCAATTTGCTCATCACTCCTCTCTCTCTGTCACTGGGTTCCTTGGGTTCAGTTCAGTGATTAATTGTGTGTTTGCCTCTGCTTCCATCAGTCATAGGATGAAGGCTCCCGGATAAGCACTCCTGGCTCTTGCAATCTTTCCACCTCCTCTTCCTCATAGATTCTAAGCTTTTAGGAGAGGGGTGTGTTATAGATACCCCATTTAAGGCTGAGTTCTCTTTGTTATTTTGGAAGATACCATTAACTGCTGACAATCAAATTGTCATCAGTTCTTTCAATCGTGGCTCTTAAACTCCCATATCAAAACTAACTCATTCTGTAGGTGTACTGCTGGTCAACTATGGAAGAACAGACCCCACCACAGATTTACAAGAAGAAAATAATAGGGCTTTTTTAAGATATCAAAAGGTTTGGGGATCAGAATTGAAGAACAGAAAAGAGAAAAAGAGGTTGCAACAAAAGGGAACTTAAAACTCCCTGCAGTTCTATCTCAAGTCACCTTTTTTCTGGCATCGCCACTATGGTCCCTGGGGGAAGAGATACCATGTCAGAAAACAAATGCAATTAAACTGTCT